TAATGAAGAAGTATGTATTTATAAAACTTTTCAATGAGTGATTTTATAAAGTTATATACTTTGTATACTTACAGTTTACAAGCTGCTGAATGAGTTGGGAGGTTACATTTTGCCAAAACGCGAGGGACCGCCAGATATAACGCCTTTGATCTCATCTCTTTTAAAAATATCTGGTGCTCCATTGTTTGATCTTTATATTGACGCAGACCTGTATGACCACACTAGGGCTGCTGTGTTCTTGGATTTACCGAAAAAACCCGACTCTGACGTACTCGGTAATGATGTTCCGGTGAGTACTTCTACATTATTTGTTAATTTGTAACTTGATAAATGCAATTAAATTAAAAAAAAATCTTACATCATTAATAATTAAATCACCAAATTATTTTTCAATAATCATTTAAACGAGTAAAACTGTATTCTGGATTAAAATGTATTAAGCATCTTTTGAGTACATGAAACGAATAAGGCAACATGCATTCATGTGATGTAAAATCCATTTTTATGACTAGTACTTTTATGACAGTACAAGTATAAAGTATATCATGCGTATGCTGTGAGCTAGAAATAAAACCAAGACTTATGAACAATAAAGTATAAAACGTCAGCGGTATGACGCACATATGCAAGAAAAAAAATTGCACGAACCTTCAAACGGATAAAAAATTTAATGAATTTTGATTAACATGTTATATTTTTCGTAATTTATTCTTAATTATACTTATATTTCACAATTTACTTTTTATTTTTACTTTAGACGAATTATGAAAAAGAAAACAAGATTCACCACACAAACGTATCGTTTAAGAGATATCAAATAGAAAAAAATATATATTTACACTTTTAAAAAAAATATCCGTACTCTAAAATAACAAAAGATACTCATCCATCTAAATCGTTTGTAAAAAAAAGTTTACATGATTTTCAACCTTTGCTTTCCCAAAAAAACGTATCCCTGAAAATTAAAACCTTTTTCACTCCCATCACAATAAACAAGCGGGTTATTTTTCCCTCTTGAACAATAACAGAAGCTGCCCAGAATTTACGCACACATGCTCACACGTACTCACGTATATATGTATACGTACGTAACCGCGACCTCCCAGCAGACGCGCGAACGACATCGATCTAGTATATATCCTTTCTGGTCTCCAACGCTTCGAGCTGTACACATAGCACAGCGAAAGTTCGACGGGCTATACACCCCCTGCACTACAGTTGTTTATACGTCGGTATGCTATGCTATTTCTCGCTCCAGTTTTTGAAACGCGCGTTTGTGGCCAAGTTTACACGACCAGTGCACAATTCTTCACAACACATATTTATACGCGCGTTCTCTTACAAAGTGAATATTTCGCACAATCTCATCGGCATTTTCAGCCCATGCTGTTGCGTAGCCATCCCCTGTTTGTCGTTGCTGAAGCCAATCCCCTTTGCTGCTGTTATTTTTCGCATTTTCCTTGAATTTTTTCCAGTAAATTCACCCTCACCCGCTTACGGGAATTGCCATCGCTGTTTCTATCAAGGAAGAGGTATGCCATTACCATATCCCTCTACTCGAGGGTATTTGTTTCTTTTCGCTTCCTTCGCTACGAACAGTACCACCCCACCAGGTTTCAAAGTTCAAAAGAGTTATATCTTCCTAGTCGTGTGGTGCAAATTAGGTTTAGAGGTACAGGAAATTAGAGTATCTTTAATTGATTGCCTGCACGCAAAGTGCTCGATTGACTTTTTATTTTTTTACTTTGAAAATATACGATGATAACTGAAAAAACGTTGCAGTTGTGGATCATGTGATTAATGTACTTTTTCACTCTTTTTGCGTAGAGCTTGAAAATCGAAAAAAATTTTGTACCTCTTGAATAAATTTTATGCTAGAACTTACAAGTGCAAACAAGTTGAAAAAGTTTGAAATCATACCTGGGAAGAATAACGTTGTGTTTCGTACTTTTTTTTCTCTGTGTCAGCAACATTTACAATTCATTGCAAACTTCCAACAGTTCTCATGCGAAAAGTCTTTATCGATCTTTTTCTTCGAGCGCGAGGAAATTAAATTCTTTTTCAAACATCCCTTTCAGAAAAAATGTAAAGAGATTTTTTTCAAATACCCGCATACACGTTCAATGCAATTGTAATGTTATGAAATTAGAATCTTTCAAAGTACTATCTTTTTTTTTTTTTTTTTTTTGGGAAGAACATTTTAAAACGATGAACACCGGGAAAGTCTGGGCATTCAGGAAAAAAAAAATTAATCAAGAGCTGGACCATTCTCGAATATTAAACAAGCATTGAATTAAACTTTTATAAAATGTTTGCACCTTTTTTTTTCTTTTCTCCCTTACGTTGATTATTATTGAAACCTATTTATATTAAAAAAAAAAAGTTTAACGAACTGAGTTTTTTTTTTGTAAAATATGTTTGAAACAGGTAAGAAAATTACCTAGCACGAACTGATTAGAACATGTAAATTAAAAACAAGAAACACATGATGAAACATCAAGAGATGTACGAAATTTTTTGTTTATATTATTTTATGCCTTTTAAAGATTGTGGAATCATTCATATCATACTAATATAATGAAATCATACAGTTAGTAATTTATTTCCAAAACAATCTATTTTCTCTGAGAAACTTAAAAAAACGCGTATTTATTATTATTAAAAAAAATATTGTTTCTAAATAAATAATGAAGAAGATAGTTTCTAAAATATAATTCTACGTATAAATTCTACTTGAGAATTCCAAAGTTGAAAACCCCGATGGTACCTCTGCTACCTCAAGATTAAAAATGCTTTATTTATAAGCACTAATGGATGGTTGTGTTTGAACACACGAAATTTTTTTGTTGTTAAAAAATACCGAATGCAACTACGTGTGGATCAGCACACCAAATAGCACACGAAACAGAGAAAAGATTGCAACGTAAGGTCGAAAAAAAAAATCAAAACATCCGAGAAAAAGGGCACTACTGAGAACCAAGGTGCAAGGAGAATGATGACAAAGTGCATTAGTGTCGGTGGTACCGTAAAAGAAAAGAAAACGCACCCACTGGAGAAGGAGAAGAAAGTGGGAAGCTGGGGTGCGCGCCACTTGCGCTCGCTTGAAGGGGATGCTTAAACAGTTGAGCCCCAAAGAGACGGAGAAAGAGAAAAAGGGCTGTGCACTACTTTTTGTCAGACGTAAAATAATGAAGAGAGAAACGAGAGTATGACGAGTGGTTGACAAAAATATACTGCGAGGCTCTGCCTTTTTCTTAGCTTGTCGTTAGTTAACTCGTCGCAGTTCAAGGAAGAATTCGCAAATTGGTCGTGTGCTGTTCTCAGCTCGCCTTTGATTAAGTTATTTCTTGTTCCTTTCTTTTTTTTTTCTTCTTCATTTCGCGCTAGCTTCATGACGTTCCTACAACTGCTTCCAAATAATACTTGGCGAAAAACGTGGTAGAAGCATGGTTTATGTGATGAATATTTAAAGATTTCATTTTTTTCGTGTATCACAGGATGTACTCTATTTTTCAAATAAATAAAGAAAATTATCGACCGAAAGTAATGTCTGTGGGAAACTAAATGTTTTCAAGAGTATCATGTAATTTTTTCGAAACCATGATTAGAAAGTTACTTTCTCCTATAGTCACTGTTTTGCCTTTTTAAAATAATTTAACGGATAAGAAATGTTTAAAAATTTTTACAGTCTAAAAATAGGCTCAACAATCAACTTTTTTAATCAATGGCATTATTTTTTAAGCACCGAAACTTGGTTACTTACAAACAATAATGAAAGCTACATAAAACTTGGACAAAGTATCTCGTCATTTACAGCGAAGTAACATCTATATCCTAAAACCAACTGCATATTTATAACGTTGGATAAGTATTCTGCAGTCAAGTGACGAACACAAATAATACATTTATATTTAATCACTGAGGTTGGCAAAGTCTATTTGCTTTATATTTTATATCATTAACTTGATATCAAATTCATACCTTACCTCGGTACTGTAGTAACAAAAATCAAAGTAGATAAAATTCAGTGAAAATAACTACATCTGAAATCCATTTAACAGCAAACTCGTCTAAAGAATAATAAGAAAAATCTTTATAACTGACATTCATATTGCTGCTAGTAAAGTGATAATCAGGGCCAAAACATTTAATAGTCCTTAATACCATGAAGTAGTAAACCGAATTAAAAGCTAAATTAAGAATAATCTGCTTTCCTCCGCAATCCATCATATCATTAGTCTTGTGTGATTTAGATTACAGTTGACATTCAGTGCAAAAGTAGAAATGACTCGAGAACAGAACAGAATAAGTAAGTAAAGGGAGTATACCAACGAAATATTCATTTAAGTATTCCAAAGTAGAAGGAAACGTGAGATAAAATACAATGAAACGCAGCTTAGTTTAAAATCTGGACCACGAGTTGAAGAAAAAACAAATTTTTCTCTTTACCAACAGCAGGTTTTACGCTGTTCATTGGAATGTTGAAACGAGTACGTTTAAATGGTGAAATTTATGTTTTAAAACAGTAATAAATTGAGTGTGACACATTGATTTATAATAAGACACATATATACGTAAATTTTCCAAAACATTTTATACCTGGATTTTAAATGATTATTTGCTTAACTGTCAAACCTATTTTGTAGAAATTTTTTTAATTACTTCAAACATTTCGGAAACCTTCATATATATTTTTAACTTAAAATTTTTTTGTTTTGCTTTATTGACTTAAATAAACTATGCACTCTGCAAGAAAAATATTCACAATGCCTCATAATCAGGGTCATGAGTTATACTTTTCAAATGATGTACTGTACACGTTTCGACCTTTGTGAAATTAGTCTTGAAAATAAGAACGACTCACCGAGAGCTGACTGTACACGCATAATCCATCTATACATCATTAACTGTGTATATATATATATATATTTGAGGAAATCCACAAATAATATTTCGTTTTTGTCCTCAATTCTAATAAAAAAAATTTTTAAGGCAGACCCTTCAAATCAGGCTCAATTTACCTGTAACGTTATGTACTATAAAAAAAATTTTGAACACGGGTTTCAGCACGAATCACACCGTTTTTCTGCGATTTAAATATTAAAATTATATTTATACACATGAAATTTATAGATGTAATTATAGCATGCAAATCAAAGAAAAAAAGTATCTCCCTCACTGAAACCTGTGTTCGAAATTTTTCCCTTATGGTACATGACATTACGAGTAAAATGAGTCCGGTTTGAAGGATGTGCCTCAAAACTTTCTTTTTATTCTAAGAGAGGACAA